GATGAATGGGTCCAGATCACACATACATTGGGAAGTTGAAGGCCTGAATTTCAGAGTTGACAGACAGGGTGTTCTTCCCTCCCCTTGGAGCTCTTCCCTAGTCCAGTTTTCTCCTGGGACAGTACTGATATGCTGCTGTGCTAAGAGCAAGGCTAGAGTCCAAGGCCATCAGGCATATCCTTGTTTGCTTGGCTTTGTCTCTTGACTTCTTGCCCAGTGTCAAAGATCTTTCTTCAGAAAAGAAAATGTCACAATCGTTCAAGCTGAAAAGACCAAGTTTCTTTTCATAACATGTCAAGAATGAATAGCAAGTGGAGTGAATAGCACTGGCCCAACACCTTAGGGCAGAAAGAAATCAGTACATAAGCAAATAAAAGTCTTAACAAGAACAGGTTTAGCCTGGTGCCATGGGAATAAACTTTGATGCTTTCCTTGTGATGTGATGATGATAATAAACGAAGCTATACCTATACAAAGCCAGAGAAGAGCCCTTACCGTGTCTAATGTCTGTGAACCTGATGTGACCTTTGTCACAAGGTTCAGTCCCAGAACTCTTCATGAAGAAGTAAGTGTTCTAGGACATGGTGAGAATGTGATTGGACCGGTTTGACCATGCGACTACAGGTGCAGGATTTGTTTAGTTCACTTAATTCAGAGCTGTGTTGAGGAAACCGAGGCTACAGAAGTAGAAAGGAAGGCAACTAAAACAGTCAGAATTGAGGGAAAATGGAAGCTCATGTCCTAAACTCTCCACCCCTTCTGGATGGTTCTCTGAGAATATTTAGTGTGTCACCTCGGTGAGGCACCAAGAACAGCACAAATGCTTGGCTCTGATGTCGTACTTGGAAACAGTTCAGGAGCAGTGGCCCAGACTCAACAAAATAAAGGTAGAGAGGTGAACACAGTCTGGTAGGACCTTGCACTTGAGGTAGGAAAGCCAATCCCTGAAGGAGCAACCCCAGTGAAGGTGACTGCCTGGTGACTCTGCTGTTATGTGAGTCCATCCCAGGCCCCAGACATTTTCATGGCTGAGAAACTGTAGCCTGTGCAACCATTGTGAATCCTTCATTGTCACCAAAGCCCACTCAGTTCCTAGCAGTGCATTAGGAAAACCATGTCCTGCAGTGGGTCATGTGTTACAACTGGTGTCAAGACATCTTCTAACGTCAGAAGCTATGCAGGGCAAAGCCGAGTCAGGATCAAGCCATGGACTGCATCTCCTGCTGGACAGTGGCCAGTTGCTGTGAACACTAGGGAGGATGCAGAGACCAGGTACCAAGATGTCCTCACTGATCTGCAGGAGCCAGGCCACTGGCTGGAGTGTCACCCAGAGAAACTTTCACTAACCTGGTATTCAGTTTGGGAATGAAAAGTTAAGTACCTTCCTGTGTTGTTTTAAATCTCTCACTTAACAGGTCATTTGAGCAGTAACGTGACAAGTAGGAGAAACCTGGCCACGGAGGAGGGCCCAAGTGCTTGTGTTTATCCTGGTTGTAAATCATCTTTTGATGATGGTGAAAGTCATGTTGAAATTAGGTCACTTGAAAAAAGTTTATTAAAAAGTATTGCACATGCAGGCCATGGGAGAAACACATGGTTCTTTGCTGGAGATATGAGGCTTGATTTATTGAACTTTGGGAATGGTCTTTGTGACCACATTCTAGGGCTTCAAACTCTGGTTCTCCACAGCCACTTCTGGGAAAGTTTCTCAGCTTACACAGCGTTCCTCCAAACTGCAGGAAGAGAAACCAGAAACCTGGCTTGGGGGAGGGCTCAGCTCTGGTAAGCAGGAAGGCATGGTCTCAGCCCCCTTCTCAGGTAGGTGATGTTTGGGACCTCTTACTTCATTGGCTTTACAAACCAAGGACCTAAGAGAAACAGGATTATCCCAGTAACTCCTTGAGGATTAAAATGGCATCCTGTGTTTTGTAATTGCTGAATAGGCACTGGTCCTCATCCCCAAATTCCATACACCAATCCTTCTACCTCCCAGGGAAGCCTAGAAGCCACGAGAACAAAGGTAAAGCTTACTACCCTTATTTCTTTAATTTCGCTTAAAGCCATTAAGAGAAAGCTTATTTTTTCTTGTTGGGCTGCAAGTGGCCTTTCTGGACAAAGTGTAGGGCAGCCTAGAGCTGAAGGTCAAAGCCTCATGTGTTCACGGAGCTGTCTTTTGGATCCTTCTGGAGTTTCCACAGCCAGTAGGGGCTTTCTGCCTTCCCATCAGAGATATAGCCAAGAAAGTGGGTAGTGCCGCCTCAGGCACAGACACAAACACTCCCAACCAGATTGACGGCCTTCCCAGGCAGCTACTCTGCCCTTTCTTTATCTCCAGTTATAAAAGCAGTGCCAGGTTTTCTCGTCAGCCACAGCCATGTCTCCAAATGGCTTTTCAGTGTCAGGCCCATCAGGAAATTAACTCATCAAGCCGTGACAGCTGCTAATTTTTCCCCTTCCATGTCAGATGGATCGCCCGCTGGAGCTAATCATGAATCACCCATCCCTGATTAGAAGGTGCTTCCGAAACGTATAACTGCCACCCCAGCTAACTTTTTCTCCATGTAAAATGATATCACCCTAGAGGAGTAGAAAACGAATTGTATTCTCCAATATGACGGAACAGGAGAAGGCTGCTTAAGTTACCTTGTACCCTCTTATATTATGGGCAAATATTATACAGTGAGCAAAGAGACAGGCACTGTTCTCTGCTGTGCTAACTGAATGGCCTTTCCTGCTCCCTAGTCCTGGTTATCTCAATTCTCTGCTTAGAACATCCTATCTTTTTTCTCCAAGAAGCAAGTGTGACGGAGGTGGGATTTTCTAGATGCCCTTCAGTGGGAAGTGAGTGGGTCAGGCTCCTCAGAGGAACTGGGTGGGGCTAGGCCATTAAGAGTCTGGGCTGTGTTCTAGGTGGAGGCGGAGCTAATGGAGTAAGCTTCACCCTCCCTCCTCTAGCTCTTTGACAATTCCTTTGCTAGAGTGAACTTCCATCTAATGCATCTACGGTCCTTTGAGGACCTCCTTTTAAGAATCGCCTGTTAGCAAGAAGGCTGCTAGTTGGCCAGGTATCTGGTGGACCTGGAAATCTAATGGGCCAGGATACCCCACTAAGGGTATCTGGTGGACCTGGAAATCTAATTGGGCTTGTCATCCTCTAGCTACCTCAAGTTTCAATGCTGTCTGGTCAGCTTCGCCTGAGTCCCCTGATGTCAGATTTTTCTATATACAATTTTCCATCTTTACACCCAGCCCAGCTCTTCCTAAGCTTCAGAACTGAGCTCAGTTTGATCCTGAGATTTCGTTTCTTTCCTGGAAGTACCTTGGATCATCTGTAACTGCTATCTGGCTATGGTTTTTCATATACTTTCAGATGGTCACTTGACAGGGATTCCCAAAGCCATATGAACCCAGTCTTAGTACATGTACTTAAAATACTTGGTCCCTCACAGGAAACCAAGTATGTGAAAGCCCCAGGGCCTGCACCAGACTGTTTGGTTTACTTTGTGGCAAGGATGTGTAGCAGTGAATGCTGCTTCTCTCAGGGAGGGCTGAGGCTTCTCACAAAAGTGACCATGTGAGTCAAATGACAGCACCACACTAAAATGACCTGTGACAGAAAGTTCTATGTCTAGAAATGGCCATTTTGCTTTGTGATTCCCCCAACCTACCGACAGCAAATACTGTTCAAGTTGCAGTGTGGAAGCCGAGATCTAAACCATATCGATATGCTATGCTGACTTGAAAATCAGTCTTCCTGGCATGCAGATATCCTTGGGGCTGGATCATTCAATTGGCTGTAGCTAAATATAAACATGGTCTTCTGGGGTTACAATCTCTACATAAAATGTCATTGGCTGGGCTTTTCCTTCTTCAAAATTGTCACATCTTCTCTGAAAAAAAAAAAAAAAACCTTAAGGAAAGCTGTGAGCTCACTGTGTCGTCTTTATAGACAATCCATGCTGCAATGAATGTCCTTTGCCCACAAACCCTGCCATGCCTCATTATTCTGAGGCACACATTTGTGTATGTGCTTCTTAAACTCCCTTACATTCAATAGTTGTGTAATGAGAGAGAAAAGAGAGGTAACATTAACCTAGCTCTATAGGTAATTACAGGATACAGTAGCTTGGAGAAGCCTTTGCAATCTTTCTGAGTCTACGAACACCTTATGTACCTTTTTTTTTTTTATGCAAAGACCTGCTCTTTTCATCGAGAATACAATGTGATTGCTGGTTTGACACTGCAGGCTACACTGGTTTTATGAAGGATTAAATGCCACCTGAGACATATTTATCCTAAATAAATCACACACGGTAAACTACAGCATGTCAGTGTCAGCGCCCTGGACTGTAGCAGAAAGGTTAGCCATACAGGGCTCTGCAAAAGCAGGAATTAGCATCGAGCCTCAGGACCGCAGGGCTGTGTGCGCCAACGGGAGAGGTGATCAAGAAGAAATATCTCCACTGAAAAATACCCCACCCCCCTTTTTTAACATGTATGAGGAGCTTGGAGAGGGCCATCACTTTGTAAAGGTCACCTCTATCCTGATAACAAACGGGAGTTGATCCTGTCACTGTTTGGCAAAGACGCTGTTTAAGAGGAGCTGAGTAGCCCTGCCATTTTAGGAAGCAGGAACAGTCACACTCAGTTAATTGAGACAGTGTCAAAGCTCAAGTTTTACCTTTTCTTATCTTTTGCTGGAAGGGTAGACAGATGGAGGGAGCTGGCCCTGGAATGGACCAACACAAGGCAAAGCAACCAGGAGGCCAGAGGCCAGTCCCCAATGCTTCCTCCTGTTGCCTTAGGAAGGGATTTAAATGGAACTCATCTTGACAGAGACTGGCTTCCTGTCCTGAGCCATGATAGACCGTGCTGGTTTTATTTGCCAAACACTGATGCAATGTCACTGGGTTGCAGCTGTCATCTACTATATACGAAAGTGGTTAGAGCAGTGGGGGGCGGGACTTCCTTGGCATGCTGGCACTCAGTCTATCACCACCTTTAGTTTAATGCTATAATTTTATTTCAAAGAAAACAACAAGAACAATTTTGCCTTTGAGGAATGGGGCTATTTTACAATTTTGAAAACAAAACAAAAAGAGCAATGGAATCAAGAAAGATCACCAGAGCATCACCCTGCATCCTGCACGTGCAGTGAATCCACCATGGAGCAGGCAGTGCTGGGGAAGGAGGGCAGGGGTAGGCGTCTACTGTAATGTTCAATGTCAGCCTTCCCATACTCTGAAAGTCACAAATAAATCCTGCAAAAACAATACTGATACAAACAAATACTTGATATAAAAAGCAACAAATGATATTTTTCATAGTGGATATTTCATGTACAGATGTTATGGTATGAAATGAATTCAGAATGAGAATTAATTGTCTCAACTTAGGTGGATTGTAACTGAATAAAAATTTCAAGACTTTTCTCAGACCACAGATGAAAGATTTCTCTTGTGCAGAATGGCCATGGCAAAGGAATCCTCTAAAATATTTGCAGAGAGAAAATTTATACATAAAATGAGTTAACAGGTTTCCTTTGGTCTGGGAACACCATTATCTTAAACTTAAAATAACAGTAAAAAACAATGTGTTCACTGCTTCAAGATGTAATCTTGGTAGTTCCGATTTTTAATCGAATGTGGGAAGGGATGGCAGTCCTGCGTGAACCAAGGCAGGCGCAGAGGGCTGAGGCCAGAGACGTTTCCTGTGTCCCATAGAGGATGCCATCTTTTGATGACTAAACAGGGAACTTATATGGGAGAAAAACCAGGGAAAACTGCGTCTCACCACAGTGGTGCTTGAGGGGTGAGGCTATCAGCAGAGGGCCCAACAACTAGCTCTGTGGCACAAGTTCTGCCTACCCACCCTTATTAGGCTGCTGGGCAAACTAGTGTAGGCTTGGCTTTCTGCCCTCCTTGGGTGCCTTTTCAGTGGCCGATGTTACCCCTGCCTGAAGGGCTTGTTCAGCACACCTCTGAAGTAAACATGACAGAGTACAGTGGCCTCTGTGCTGGCCCAAGTAGATCTTTGCACACTGCCCCGTGCCCAGCATGGAGGCCTGCCTCATGCTTCTTGGAGCTCACTGTTTTCTCTTTGGCTCTGGATCACTGTGGCTGCTGGGGAGCCATCCTGGGTATAGATGACCATGCTTGTCAACTGTTCCGTGCTGCCTGCACCCACAGCCTCAGCACTGAGTGCAGCCCCAGCCTGCAGGATCTCTGGAGAGCTGGCTGTCTCTATCACAGTGTGGGAGTAAACCCCTGTGTCCTCCTGTACACCTGGAGGCAACTCTGTCACAATGTAGTGAGTGGCACCCTCAGGGAAGTTGCTATTGGATTCACGGACCATGGCTTGGACCAGCTCTTCGGTTACAATGATCTGAGAGATCTCTCCTTCTGACTCGACCAGGTCCATGTGCTCAGCCGGCACTCGCAGGCCATGGGCCTCAGCCTCCTGCATGATGAACTGGGAGCCCTCTCCGGCCACCATGTGGACGGCGCCCTCCTCATTTACAATGACTTGAGTGACGCCGTCCTTTATCAGCTGGCTGGCTGCAGCTGTGTCACATACAGCAAACTGCAGCACTCCCTGAACCATCTTCTTGAAGGCCACCTGGGCTCGTTCCTGAGACGTGATGATGGCTGAGGGACGGACAACCTGGGTCAGTACTTCCATGGCTGCTGGACTCTCCTGACCATCTTGGAACAACTGAGTCTCTGTGGCCTCTGTCTTGGCATGATCATGGGCTGCTTCCTGGCTGGGCAGCTGGATCAGCACGTCCTTGTGGCTGGGCCTACCTTTTTCCTCAGGCCCCGCTCTGCTCTCCACCTCTCCCAACTCAGTGACAGCACACAGCAGTGCATCTAAGGCGGAGGAGTTGTCAGACGGAGGGACTCCAGACTCAGAGAGACTTAAGATCTCCTGCTTGGTGACCTGCTGTATGACAGCGGCACCTGGACTGAGGGCCTCATCCACACTGTGACTTTCCATGGAACCCCCCATGACAACCACCTGGGTGGCTCCATCTGTCAACTGCTCAGGGAGGATGGGTCCAGGTACTACACTGCCCACATGTGACCCATTTTGACTTGTGGCAATGACCTGCCCATGTTCTGTGATGTGTACCACCCTGGCCACTTGGCCAGCCATTGCCAGTGTCTGCAGTGTGGCTGCAGCAGTTTCTTCCACAGAGGCATCCAGGGCAAACTCCCCATCATAGCCCTGGATGATGATGACCTGTTGGACCTGCTCAGGGGATGAAGCCTGTCTCTTGCTGCTCCTCAAGGACTTCTCTTTGACAGGCGACTCCTCTGCCAGGGTGGCTGCAGTGAAGGGGCTGTCTGTCTCCACAAAGGTGGCTCCTTGTCCTTTCAGGCGGCACTCATAGGACTTGGACACGATGCCTGTGGGAGACAGGGACCAGTTAGAGTGCAGAAAGAGAACTTCAAGAGTCAACTTAGACAGCTCTCTGCAGCTCGTCTGCGGCCTCAGTAAGGACGTGTGACCCTCTCTGCAGAGGCCAAGGAGTCTGCACTAGATGCATCAGGAGGGTGCTCACTCATGTTTACCTTTACAGGCTGTTACGAGATATACTCCTTCCCATAATCATGACATCTGTGCAAACCTGACTCTTTGCAGTAGTGCTGGTATACAGGGTTCTGGGGTAGGATTTAGACAGCTCCTTCTGTGTGATGGTTAATACTGTCAACTTGATAGGATCTCCAACTACCTACAGCCAGACCTCTGGGCATGCCTCTGAAGGATTATCTGAATGAAGTTAGCCTCTGAGCATGTCTGTGAGGGATTATTAAGTCAGGGTAACGGAGGTGGAGAGTACCACCTTAACCACAGGCAGTGCCATTCCACGGGCCAGGGGCCTGGACTGAACGAAAAGGAGAAGGTGAGCCGAGTTCCTGCTTGTTCGCTCTGCTACCTGGGAGCACCTGCATGTGAGCAGAGGCTACGAGCTCCTGACACCATGCCTTTCATGCCACGAGGGACTGTGTCTCTCTTAAGTTGTTTCTTGTCAGGCACTGTGTCACAGCAGTGAGAAAACTCCTGCACTTGGTTCCTCTCATGTCCAACAGCAAGGACAAGCCAGCACTAGGATCTTTTAACCCAAGGGAAACCTTCTGTTAACGTACAAATATCAAGGACAGTGCATTTGTTTAATCAGTAAAGATAACGAAAGCTTTACACATTAAATTAAAAAGCATGTTACCAGTAAGTGTAGATGTAAGAGTTCATGGTGACAGACATTTACTGAACCAAAGTGAGAGGCAGCCCCGTGTGGCTGTGATGAGCCGTGTGGGCTGAGCACTGTGATAGGTCCAGGCACAGAAACACAAACAAAAGGCCTGGGCACTTGGGAGTCTGGAACCAAGTCTCTCAGAGTAGGCCTAAAAGGCAGGCTTTGAGGCCCAGGTAACAGCTCATCCCATCTGTTCAGTTCAGGTGCCCAGCCTAGAAAAGGAGACATAGTCAATGAAGCTTTGCCTGCTGACACTACCACAGTGGTTCAGACAAAGTGGAAGGCAGTGCCCAGCATGGAAGAGGAGACACAGTTAACAGAGCTTTATCTGTTTACAGTACCACAGTGTTTTGGACACAGTGGAGGCCAGAGGACAAGCATGGTGGCAGAGATGAACAAATCACATACTTGGGTTATAGGACAGAATGGAGGGCAAGGATCTGTCAAAGAAGCATGAGGTGGGCTTTCAGGGACAGGGAGAGCCTGGATGGTAAGGCAGAGAGCTGTCTGAGAGCAAAGCACAGGCTCCTGGGCATGCTCACATACTCTATGTTACAGCATCTGTGGCCAGAAACCTGCTGAATGCTTTTGAACAGAAATATGAGAACTGTGACATGGGGCAGCAGAGCCAGTGTTTCCATGTCAACCTCAAGTCCCTCTTACTGAGAGCATGGTGGCTCTTCTAAAAACAAAGCAAGGCCCAAGGGTGTGGGCCCAAGGGTGCTGACAAGGGTGAGATGGCTCAGCTCCTTTGTGGGGTGAGTGGACAGGGAGGACACATGGGGAGAAGACAGGGAACCCTACCAACCATCTGCCCAGGAAGTCAGGGTATATGATGGCTGTGGGGGACACACGTGCACACCTTCATGCCCTCATCTACAAGCCCATAACTCAACAGGGTAAGTGATGGAACTGTCTGCTGTTTCCATAGAGAACGGACGGATGACCCTGATTAGAGCTCCTGTTTTCTCCACCTCCCCTCACACCTGCGATCAACATTCCCTCCACTAGCAGGCCTGCATTTCTGACACAACTCTTACACTCTCAGTGAACTGTGCAGGACTTTTTTATTTATTTATTTTATGTGCTTTATTCTTCTTATCAAGGGGTGCAAGGAAGACAGGATAAAGACTTAGAGCTCATTACTTATTGCTGGCATCCCTTAAAAACAGCAATTTTGCTCACCACCTTGATGGTGTACTCCAAGAAAGCTTTTGTTTTTCAAGACCAAGTTAGTCCTGAGCACAGGCCCGACAGGGCCTTTGGGTAGGAACAGTGATCCTGGATGTGGAAGTATGCACTAGCTGCTAAATGTTAGCTTTTGCTCTGCTGGAGAACCCTCTTGGCTATAGGTCTCAGAAGGCTTATTGGAGTTGCATCAACAAGAGCAGCTCCCTCCCAGAAGCTGTTCTTAGGGCTCCCTTCATAGCCACAGCATACTGTGACAGGAAGATGCTGCTCGGATTGGTGCAGTAGGGAACACTGGGAGACGGGACTGTGATAGCTAAAGGTCAACTAGACTTCCCCACAAGGGTCCATGAGTCTAGCCAAAACAACACTGTACCTTGCTTTCTCTCAGTCATTCCCACAGTGAGAATGGAGCACTGTGAGGACCACTATGCCAGGCTGCTGGAAGACGGGAACTTCCTGGTGTGCCTCTTGCAGTTTTCACCCAGGGGTTTGGAGTATACCCTACAAGATTCTGCAGAGCTGTGCATGGGAACCTTGTGCCTGTGAGCTCCTGATGCCTCACCCAATCTTCTTCCTTCTTTCCAAAAAACAAAGCCTCTCATTTGCCTAGACCAGTGCATTACTCTATGGACACAAGAGTCTGGGTGATAAGGGTCAGTTTGAGGATGCTAAGAAACAGCTCAAGCATGAGCAGGTCGGCATGAGCAGGCTCACCAGCAGCTCTGCATGGAGGTCTCCGCAGCTTCACCTGCGCTCATGTTGTCATTTCACCTTTCACCTGCTCTCAATTTTCTTCTCTGAGAGGTCAGATCGAGTCAATCTCTGAAGAGATCCAGCACTGAGAAGCAACCACAGACCTGACTGCATCTGTGGCTGGGTTTGGGTGGACCTGGCTCCTGGTCAGCCCATCTGTCTGTCATCTACTGGGTCCTCCAGCTCCATCACCTGGGTCTGTCAGGCTCTCTTCTGGTATGCATGCAATATCATAAGCCAGCTCTACCTTTCCAGCCTGGGATACAATATTTTGCTTGCCTTCCTTAATTCTGATTTGGATTTGTTTCTGCTCATCTTGATTTCAAGGTCATAAGTAGTGAGATTCACAGACTGTTGCATTCAACTGGCCCTGCCCCCAATCATTACAAAAGAAGAGAATATTGCCTTTGCAGTAAAAATCAGGAGAAGCTATACAAGTTAGGGGAAATGAGGAACATCCTACTCTTAGAAGGCAAGAAAGACCACTTGCTTGGACCCCAGCAATCCCACTACTCACTGGAAAACGTCTTGGATATAGAATGATCCTTTGAATCCCTTGCAGCATTGATAATTATGAATTCTGAACTACTTGCTCAGTTCATTTGAATCCAGAGATGGGTTAAGCTACTTCCAGACCATTAAAGTAAACTGTGTGGGTAAATACTGCTGTCAGCTGGCTCTGTGATGAAGTTTAATGCCACCAACATTTTAACCTCCGGCAGCAGGGCCCCAGCCAGTCCATCATAGTTCATAAATGTGAGTGCAGGTCCGTCTTTTGATTCAGCAATTTAATAACTTCGAGTGCTGTCAGTACTGCTTTGAAAAATAGCACCTATAAAATGTAACAGCCTCAATCAGATTGAAAAAGATTCACCCATTGAAGATTCTTCCATTTCAACCATAATGAATTAATGTGGAGCGATGCAGAAGTTCAAGTGTCATTTAAACAAATGTGAATCTCTACTGTAACTTTAGATTCCAGAATGTGATGGGCACACAAGCTCTTTCTACTGAAAACGGACTTCGAAGCTCACCATTGCAGACGGCCACATGTCCAGCCCCGCTGGGCAGGGCAGTCTTCAGGTTTTATCCCAGAGGCCTTGTTACGGCTGTAGCTTCAACAAGCATGCATATCTTTAACGGCCTGTGGATGCCTGGCCAGCATTTATGCTGTACTTATTTTTAAGACACACTGTTGGATTTCAGAGCAATGGCAGTAGCAAAGTGCCTAAACTTCGGACCTGTTTCCAATAGGGCAAACAGTCATGTGCAGAAGATGGGAGCAGAGTTACTGCTCATGTCTAAACTCTCAGAAGAGTTACTAACTCAGACGGCAATAAAGGTGGATTTTTTTTTTCTTAAGATCTGTTTTCAATGAAGTGATTTTGAGTCTAAGTCTTGTTTCAGTAGAACACAGCAACGAAACTGCTGCCCCTTCTGGAAGAGTGTGCTCCAGAGATGGAGACTATGGCACTGGGTAGGAGATGGGTAAGTTGTGAAGGCTCGTGGTCCCGAACCACACCAGGGCCTGCCTTGTCAGGCTCTGGGCAGCTGTGGAGGAGCTGTGCACCTGACTCCTTTCTTTGTGTGTGAGCTGGGCTACGGTTACTGTCATCATTTTCCCCCCACAGAATAAATACCTTATGCTTTTGTTAAGCTTACATTTAATTAAAATGTACAGAATTTGTGCAGTAAACTCAAATGAAACAAATAAAACAAGGGCCCCCTCTCTTGAAGGCATACGTTGTGAATGAAAAATGTCATTACAGACTAAAAAATTTTGCAGTAAACAGGGCCTACAGAGAGAAGTTTCCCCTGTAATGACATCCATAAAATACACAAATGGCACTTTTAGTACCATCCTGAATATGGCATTTTCTGTGCTCTACACACAATCTAAATGGTTTGATCATAGAGCATAATACTCCATTGGGTTTATAGAACAATCAATGTTCCATAAAATGATGTATTTATCCAATAGTAGGCTCAGCAGTTACTGGTCTATGACATTGTAGGACACAGGCCTGGGCTCCTCTCAGCACACATGCTGGCTGTAAAACTTATCTAACACCACTTCAACAACTTCATCTCATCTGTGGCAAGTAATTTGTGGAAGCCTCAGCTTGGTTTAAAAAAAACTTGTAATAAAAATTCATAGAATTTTCAGGAGAATGAAGGCTGATGACAATAGAAAGGTCACATTGTGTC